CGGATTTATAGTTAAACTAACAAGATATTAATTTAATAAAACTTAATTGATTTGATTTGATTTTTAATTATTTATTGAAGCTAGTCCAACCTGATTGGATCAATAATAAAGGAAAAAAAATAAAATATCATTATTATAATAAAAATAATTAATATGGATTGATTCAATGATTCATGAATTAACTTAACAATCCATGTTTTTTTTTTTCAAATTAATCTGTAGATTGTGTTTGATATCTATTGATTTAGACCTCTTGATCATATAATCAAGCAACTTTCAACAAAATAGATAATAACCTGGAAAGTCAAAAATCAGGTTCGATATAATCTTGATCAAGAGGTAACCCGATATTTAAAAACTAAAAGTGTTGAAAAAAAAACTTGGACCCATAGATAACCTTATATCTAAAAACCTTAAGTATGTGAATGATATCATAAAACTAGTTAATTATTTATAAGTCAGTATACAATTTTTGTACAAGTAAAGAAAGGTTGTTTTGCCACAAATAAATACAATAAAAACTCATATTTATTCTCCAACTTGTTGATGAAATTTACATCTATAAAAATATGATATGATTTCCTTAACTAACCCTAATGGATCTTTTTTGGATTGCAAGCTAATGGATCTTTTTTGGATTGCAAGTTAATGGACCTAAATTAATAATCAACAAACATAAGTTTAATAATAAAATAAATTCCTAAACAATATCTAATAGGTCAGAACAGATCTAAATTAAAAATAATTATTTAAAATTAAATAAATAAAATAGGATAATAAAAACAAAATTTTCATGCTAAAATTCTTTTTTATAATTAGAATCTTTAATTTTTGCATGTTCTTGATAGATTTTCAGTTCTGGTTTCAAACACATTATTTTCTTTTCTTGAGAAGTCTTTTTTCATCCAAACTTCAATAGCAAAAAAATTTCATTTGCAGCACCATGTATGTTATAAATACTATACAAAAATCTAGTTTATATTTGATAAGATTTATCTAGTAATTTTAATTTTTTAAATCTTATTTCATCTAAATTTTTTCTAAAATATACTTTTATATATTTAATATTTTTTCTTATAAAATTTCAACTCATTTCAACAAACAGTTTGACAAGAACGTTGAGATGGACCTGAAGTTGTTTAGCCATCTCCATCGACCCCTGGTGTTAGCTCATTTACAGGATTCTTTTGCTCCCGGTCTCCCACGTTAGCCATTTATAATGGCCGCAAAATGTTACACAGAGATGACTTGCCTAACCGGGGACTAACTCGAAGAATGGCCTGGGGACATGAATCCTAATACTGCAGCAGTATCAATGCGAAAATTCTAGCCATTGATTTCTCTCTGCATTTGTATTCATGGTTTCATACTTCTGCAGGACAACCCCCATAATTCTTTGAAGGAACAGGATAATGACTACTTTCATATTCCAACGCAAGTAAACCAAATCTCACTGAACCATTAAGTAAAAGAAAAGCAAAATCTCCCTTTCATGTTCCACTGATATTACAGATTGGCCTTGAAACTATGAGTCCTTCTCAATCGCACAGCAACTTCATCTCTTTCTAATCAAATCCAATCTCAACAAATTACTGTATATAAACCTGCAAAGGCCATAAACATTGAGAGCCACTAAATATAAACAAAACAGAGAACTTCCTGCCCAGTTATCCTATATTAATCAAAGAACCCTGTTTTTGAATCCTGAAATAACCGATAATCCCACATCAAACCTAATACATATTCCGGACGAAAACAAGCGGAAACTAAATAAAAGTAGCAAACATTGAGTGTAACAAAGTGCAGATTTTGTTTTTTTGCTTTATCTAAAAACCATAGTTTTAAATTAACCAAAAACTAAAACTCCTTGTAAACACATGAAATTATTCATTGTAAGAATGTAATGATGAATTTACCTATTTAATCATGAAACATTTGAGCTTGGCATTTGTGCTCAGCATGGTCTTTTCACAATAATTCAATTGTTATTTTCAAACTATGTGAGGCTAGATTAGTTTTTTTCCTTCTTTTTTTTTCCATGTTTAAATAACTTATATAGTTACTCCTTGAATAAAATAAAATAAACTTTCATTTAGAGGCTTTTTAGTTTTTTAAGATTTTCAGCACAATAAAATTACTTAATTACTTTTTAAAAAAATTTATTAAACTAATTTCCAAGAGTTTTTTGTCATTTCATCATAGTTTGTTGGGTAATATCAAGTTGATTTAAGAATATTTTTTTTATTTGAATAAATATTCAATATTATTAAAAAATAATTGATAGGGCTTTCATGACATTTAATATTTTTTATTAAATAGTGTAATGATGGATTTGCTTCACACATGTTATATAATATTTTTTGTTATAATGATGTAGTGATGGATTTGTCTTTCAATTAAAAAACCTTGTAACTTCAAAACATGGTAGTATTATCTTTTCACCATGATTCAATTGTTTTTTTTTAAATTATATAGGACAAATTAGTCTTTTTATTTTTTTTCACAATTAAATTACTTAGTTACTCATAAAATTAAAACAAATAAAACTTACATTTAGAGGCTTTTTAGCATTTTTAATTTTTTAGCACCATAAAATTACTTGATTACCCTTATAGAAAAAATCTACTAAACTATATTATAGGGGCTTTTTCATCCTTCCATAATATTTTTTCAGTTAATATCAAATTAACTCAAGGATTTTTTTTAAATAAATATTATTAAAAACATAAATTGGCATATGCAATGCACTCATTGGCAAGTAAAATGCCCATTTACTCTTCGTGCAACACGTGTAAGGTTGTTTGGTGACCAAACACTGCCTTCTATAATAGCATTTAAATCATCTTGGTATCCTTTTTTTTTCATTTCTTTTTCCTTTTCCTTGTTGTTTCTCTATTCTCCTTGGTTTATGCACCTATCTTTCAAAGTTTCAATACAGTTCTTCAATTTTTTATTCTTTTAGTTTGGTCAATTTTTTTTTATTATTTATTTTATTTTGAATAATTTACAAAATTAAAAAGTTTTTCAATTTTATCCCCTTTTAACTTTTTTCATTATTCAAATTTAATCACTATTTGTTTTATTTGACATATTTTTATAAAAAACAAATTTCACAATTTCATCATCCTTAATTTTTTCCTTGAAAAATTTAATCTCCATTCTTTTTATTGTTATTTTTTTTTACTTTGACAAATTTTATAAATTGATATATTTTTTTATTTTATCATTAAACATTAAATTGGTTAGGCATTGAGGTTTTTTTTTGTTGAGCTCAAGTCTAAAATTTCACTAATTAAGAGTTTTAAAAATTATTCAAGTTTAGAAAGTTTCTTCGAGTTTGCTTTTTTTTTTTAACTTATATTTTTCAGTTTCATTCCTCAATATTTTTTTGATTAGAGATTGGGTCATGTTATTTTTTTTATTTATTTTCTTTTTATAGGATTTTTCACTAATAATCTAGGTTATTTTGATTCTTTATATTTATAGTTCTTTGTTGAATTTGTTTTGGAAAAAATTTTAAATTTATTTTTTTTATTTCATCATTTAATATTAGATTAGTTAAGAATTAATATTTTTTTCTAGTTCCATCCTTCAAGGTTGAAGTTTTTTTTACTTCATGATTTTCCTATATTTTCTTTTTATTCTTTTATCATGATCTCATCACTTCGATCATGGATTTGATATGTTAATCTAGATTTACTCGAGTTTTTTATGGTAATTTTTTAAAATTTAATATTTTTATATTTTATTTTTCAATATAAAATTATTTTAGAATTAAGTTTTGTAACGTTTTGAGTTTTGCTTCTATTAAATTATCTCTTTCTCATGATTGGAATTATCAAATTTGGTTAACTTGCTTGTTTTTTCTTTGATATTTTTTTAATTAGATTTTTTTGTTCAAATTCATTCTTTTATGTTAAATTTGTTTGAAATTAGATTTTGGTATTTTTTTTTATTTGGTAATCTTGATTTGATTACCTGACCTGCATATATAACATACTCAGTTAGATTGGTTTAGGTCGATTTCTTTTTTTAATTCTTTTCATTTAATTGGTGGGAATCTTAGCTTCTTTGTCTTTCTTTTTTTGGTAATTTTTTTATTTTTATATATTTTCATGATTATTATTTTTTTAATGTCATTAATTTACTATTATTATGTATATATTTATTATTTAATTAAATTATACCAGTTTTTTTTGGTAGAGTTTAGTTTATGCTTAAATCATGTTTTTTTTTTAATTTTTAAAAATATATTTGTATCGTTTAAATCATGTTTTTTTTTTAATTTTGTAACTAGTTAAAAAAATATTTAGGCACAACATATCACATGCCCTGGTTGATTAGCTATAAGATTTTGCTTCTTTTTGCTATCTCAAAAAAACATATAAGGAAATTGATTCAGAGGTAAACATTCATGTACATGTACATGTACATATACATATACATACATATATATATATATATATTGGAATTTACAAAATAAGATTAATGACAAGGATTCATTGTCTCTTAATCTTCACACACATTAATTTGCTTCTAAATTTTGAAATTCAGCACTTTTAAATGGTCACAAGAGAGGAAACGTAGAGTCTCCCTAGACAACCACAAATTGTCAACATCTTCTATCCAATCAAAACCACTTACGTGTAACAAACGTCATCCAGGAATTTCTTATAAAATTTCTTCTGTTCCACTCCATGCAGGTCCACCATAGATTCCTGCTTCACCTCACGCCACGTAATCCTTTCACTTCCACCCCCCTGTCCCCCTAACATTTCTTACAAAATTTCTTTTCTTTCACTTCATAGTTGCCACGTAGGTCCACCTAGATTCCTGCTTCACCTCACGCCACGTCATCCCTTGACTTAAATGTCCATGTCCCCCTAACATACCTGGATACTCCCATACCGTTGATTAGAATGACCCGAATTTTCTAGCCGTTGATTATTAGGAAAATTAACTAGTGGACACCATAATTGACGTGCTTATGTTAAAATTTGACAGTTTTTTAATATTTCTGTGTTACTTGTGTTTCTAACAAGACTTGCCAGTTACTAGACTGGAAGATTTTGTGCCAGCCAACTCTTACAGGATACTGCTGCTCTGTTCACATAGGTAACTTCGATTTTTATGTATTAGAATGTTTTGATCCTTGTAGTTTCTTTATGAGATTTCTTGTTTCTTGTGTTTTATCCTCGCATAGTTATTGCAAATTAAAATGTTGTTGCTGTGTTTGACGTTTTATCGGTGATGGCGTTGATAATATTTTGTATCTACTATAATTATCCCTAGAATGCCTAGCCCGGGGGTAAGTGGGGTGTTCTTTGTGGTTTTTTTCTGATGTTTTAATGGTGATTTGGAACATTTTGTTGGAGATTCTGAGACCTTTCAGCTGGGGTTATATTTCTTGATTTGCATCCGTTTATTTACTGCTAAATTTGATTGATCAGAATTTTTTGAAGGTTACATAGATGTCAATGGAAATTTAGTTTTTGATGGTTGGTATTCTTCTTGATGTTTGTGATCAAAGCAGAACTAGCCATTATGCATACAAATAATTGGTCGGTTCACTCAAATTGATGATTTTGTTTTTGTTGAGACTATGCTGGCATCGTTTGGTTATGGGAAATTTGAACAATTTATCGTAAATCAAGGACCTGGGTCTCCGAATTATGTGTTTGTGTGTGTTGCATTTAGTAAAGAAATGAAATCTTACTAAATGCAAATTTTTTGTTTGTAGTGTTTGGGGAGTGAAAAAGTTCTCGTACACTTCCATAATCTTGTAATAATACAAATTGGCATGGGAATTGTAAGTGTTTCGAGCTCAGCTTCTTGGACACCACTAGGATTCAGTACGAAATTTACAACTTGTAGATCTACGGCGAAGAGACCACTGATTGTGGCATTTAAAGCTGACAAATCCAACGAAACAGCTTTGGTTGCACCCCACGAGCAAATCCCATTGCCCATAGAAACAACAAAGGAGGAGAAGAGACATGGTAAAAGCAAAAAATCTTCTAATCGATTAAAAGCTGTCCGTACTGAAGTTTCTCCGTGCACCTTGGGAGTGGATTACAATGAAGCTGCTGCGAAACTTGAAAACATATACAAGCTTAGCCCTGGAACTGACACTTCTGATGTGGAAGATGTAAATGGTGTGCTTAGGAGATGTAGGCAACGGAAAAGGAAGACTAGTGAATGTGAAAAGGAAGATGACGGTAGAACTAGCAAAATAATCGTAAGGAACCAGGCAAAGAAGGCTAAACGATTGAGTCTTCAGAAAAGAATTGCACTGAGGATCAAGAGTGATGAAAAATTGGTGACTTCAGTTGGGAAGAGAAAAGGTCGAAAGAATGAAAATGAAAAGATTGATGAACTTGTGAGGGGGGAGTATTCTTCTTCAACTGATTTGGCCAGCTTGGACTGGAAAAAAATGAAGATCCCCCCAGTCCTTACTTCAGCAGAGCATGCCTGGTTATTTAAGTTGATGCAGCCTATGAAGGTCAGCACTAAACCTTTCTCCTGATGCCTTTAACTTTTGCAAATAGGTTGTGTTTTATTGCTGCTAGAATGATAGTTTTCTGGTGCTCAGTTCCATTTCTTTTATATTAGGCATCCCTTCAAGTGAAAGAGCATTTGCAAGAAAATTCAGGGAGAGAACCAACAGAGGGTGAATTAGCTGAGGCAACAGATATGGATGTGCTCCAAGTGAGAAAACAAATAGAGGTTGGTCGAGCTGCAAGGAACAAACTTATTAAGGTAATGATTTATTTTCTACTGGTGGCATTGAAGCAACTCAATTTCTGAGGAAACATGGTCTCACATGGTTATGATAGATTGAAAAAATTACACAGGATTGTAATGCTTGTTGAGTGCTTTGGTTCCCTTTCATCTTCAAGTTAGAAGGCATTGTTAGTATCCTTTTTGATGCCCGAGGACTTGTTTAATTTGGAGGAGAAAAATTTACAGCAAATTCTCAATGTTGTTGCAGCACAATCTCCGGCTTGTATTGTTTGTGATCAACAAATATTTTCAAGACTATGCAAATGGGCCAAGATATCAAGATCTTTGTCAGGCAGGAGTGAAGGGACTTATGACAGCAATTGATCGCTTCGAACCCAAAAGGAGATTCCGGCTATCCACTTATGGGCTGTTTTGGATTAGACATGCCATCATAAGGTCCATGACACTCTCAAGCTTTACACGTGTTTCGTTCGGCCTGGAATCAGTATGTTCTCTTTGTACATAAACTCGGTTTTCTTCCCTTCTGAATGGCGCAATGATTTACGCTTATCCCTTTGATTCTTGCTGCAAGGATGCGCCAAATAAACGTTGAAGCTCTTCCCCTCCTTGGAGTTGGTAGAGTGGTTAGAAATTCATCATTCAATGATATAGGGCACTGCAATCAATTTAAAATTGGGAACTAGGCAGTTACTATGCAATGCAAGAAAGGAATAGGAAGCTTTGGATAGCACCATATATTTGGATTTTCTAAAAACCAGAAATTTAGTGGTAATTGTATAGGGAATGTTTTAAATTGCCATGTTTCAGTTCTTCATTTTTAACCCAGCATCTAATGTTACAGTGTTCAGTGAGTGTTGAATGGAAAAGGTTGCATATATTCAATCCATAACTAGGACTTCCGTTGACTTTAATTTAAAAAGCTTGTGTTGGATGCTTGGCAGGAGCATGCTATAACAGCTTCAACTTGTGCAGATAAGATCAGAAATCCAGAAAGCAAAACTTGAATTGTGGTTTCAACTGCAAAGGAAACCAACGGGGGAAGAGATTATTGAAAAAGTAGGGATCTCTATCCAGAGGTACCATGAAGTGACGAGGGCCTCAAAACCTGTTTTGTCTCTCCATTCGAAACACAAAACAACGCAAGAAGAGTTGATTAGTGGAGTTGCTGATGTCAATGGAGGTGATGACCGGAGGCAATCAGCTCTTCTCAGGCTTGCTCTTGATGATGTGGTAAGCACTCATTTTATCCTTTCTTAGAGTTTGTACTGCATTGCTTTCTCTATTTAATTGTTTACCCTTGTTTGAATCTTATGAGGATCAAAATCCTTTCATGAATAGTCCTGTTGAGAAACTTTCTTTCACCAGCATTATTGTTTCCTCTATCTTTCAACTTGCTTTTTATACCAAAAGAAATATAATTTATGTCATATAGAAGCGAAATTAACTCTTCATGTTCTTGCACTTTATAGAAGGGCTTCTAGGAGCATCACTTAATTGAAAGGACCTCTGAAGCAGAAAGTTCAACTAGCATAGTTTCTTTGTATTGTTAGTTTCAATTCTTTGTCAGAAACAAATATCTAATCTCTGAAAACCCTCTCCAGCTCGATTCTTTAAAACCAAAGGAGAGCCTGGTGGTCCGTCAGAGATTCGGACTGGATGGTAAAGGGGATAGAACATTAGGAGAGATTGCTGGGAACTTAAATATCTCAAGAGAAATGGTCCGGAAGCACGAAGCTAAAGCACTCATGAAGCTCAAGCATCCAACGAGAGTGGATTATCTTTGCCGCTATGTTGTCTGAATGGATCAGCATCATAAGAATTCTATGCCTCTTGATGACTCTTCATCACCAGCCATTGTTGCATACTAATGATCTGTATCATGGACATTTTTTAACCACGTGAAACTAGACAAGATCTCATATCATGTGATATGTATTTTTTACAGAACTTGAGATTTCAAATCACCACATATACATGTAATCTTGTCTCTCCTATATAATACAATGATGTCTTACACAGTTCACAAATGTACTCAACCTTCTAGACAATATACTGGACTCTGATCGTACAAACCTGAACTGCAATGCTCAACGTTCGTTGGCTCTATGGCTTGATGGTGTAACTCCAATCACTCAAGCAGAGGTCAAGCTTAGGTAACAGTACAAAACATGAACCATGATGTAAAGCTGAGGTAACAGTACAAAACATGAACCATGATGTAGCGAGCGATGTCATCCATCACGCTCTCATAAGCAAACCGGGTCCAGGTTTCTGGCACCATATCCAAAATACTATGATTTATTATGTGAGCTGGGTGCATGTTCAGTTGACCATTAGTTCAACTACTGTCTCGTCTGGAGAAATTGCGATCCAATAATTCAGTTCATTAAACTTGCCAAAGGGTGTCAGGAACCAACATATTTTTCTATATCTTTCAGCAGATTTCCTTGCTGGCAAAACTTGCCAAATGTTATCCCTTCAGTATTTAGCTCATCTTTTGAACAGTCATTACAATATCTGTTGTCAAGATTTATTAGTAGAAAGGTTCTGAGGGCTCTGTCAGAGTGAGCACGTGACAATTTGTTGGGTCAGTTGGGAGTTGGGAAGGGAAAACCCCAGAAGAAAGTGAATGTGGAAAACTCAATTTAGCCCTTAATGTATTACCTCATTGCAAATTAAGTCCTAAATATTCTGATTTTTATCACATCTTCCCTAAACATAATCAAAATTAGACAATATCGCCACTCGGTCCATCAAAAAAGAGTCATAAATCTTTTGATTTTATCAAATTTTCCCAAAACTTAAATCAAAATTAGACAGTATCACTACTCAAACCATCAAAAAAGATGAAGCAAGATTGATAAAATTAAAAGGTTTATGACTCAATTGATAATGAGGTAATATGTTAAGGGTAAATTGAAGCTTTTCCGAAAAGATTTATGCTGAAAATGGTTAGGTGATGGGGTTGCATTTTCTTTACAGACCCAGGACGATGATTCTTGCCAGGTTATCATGGCTTCAACTACTTGTCATACATTTTTATGTTGATAGGAAAAGTTTGATGAGCCCCATGAAAATTTGCACCATTGGACAGCTCTGGATAGCATGAAATATGATTATTTACAAATTAAATATAAACTCTTCAATCCTGAGATGGGAACCATCCATCGTATTGCAATTTTTTACCCAATTTAAAATTCTGAGCAGCATTTAAAGAATATGTGTCTTGGAGTTGAAGGCAATGCCTGCCTTAATATGCTCCTTCTCAAATATGCAAGCCAATACAAGGATTGATCCTTGAGAAGATTAGTTTTGTTAATTAATTCCATTGCCAAAGAAACTAAACAAAACCCTGCACAAATTTCAGAAGCCAAACAACCACAAGCGAATACAGAAGGAAACGATCAACAAAATTAAGTAAAAAACTGTTTAAAACCATTACAAGTTAATGCTCAACTAGAAGTCCTAGACTTCACTTCGTTATACAATTTTCCGTTTCCAGCAAACCCTTCGCGGTGTTTCATTATCCAAAACCTCTCTATTTCTTCTGCTTTTCGGCCAGGAATCCTTCCAGCTATCAAATCCCACCTGCAAATTGGTCCCATTTTATGATATTAAGAATCAATCAATGTAAGCATCAACATGACTCTGCATACGTTGATGTGCATTGTCGAAAGACCAGACAAATTTTGAGTATGAAAAGGTGAAAAGCTAGGAATTTTTTGTCTGCAAGAAAGTGCAGAAGGCATCTTCTTGTTAATCCACCAGTTGGCCTGGTCTGGTCATTTAATAATTAGTAGTGGCATGGTCTTAGGATTAGGGCATCCATCCATAAATGCTACACTAGCAGAATGAATTCATTTTTGCAGTATACAGTCATAATTAATGAGCAACAACTTGGAGTTGGCTTTCTTGTTTTCCCTTTTCTTTTTTTTTTTGGATAGGAGCAAATTAGAGTACTCTTGCTTCTGCATAAACCACCCTTTGAAGGCCAAAACGATGGAATAATTGATTGCTCACATACCAAAAAGATAAAGTAGTTGAAGATCATAATAGAAAAGATAGCCATCAGCAGAATGTGTTAGCATACCTTTCACCAACAAGTCTATGCATTCTGTAAATGAGGTCTTCCTCTTGCTCGCTCATGTTTATGAACTCCCATTCAATACTACTGACCTCTGCATAATAAAGAACATGAAAAAATTAACAGCGAGCTATATCTCAGTACATATAGACTCTACAAAGAAAGGCACCTGTAAAACAACAGAATTAACCGCTTTAAGGGCTAGAAAAAACAGCTGAAAGCCAGAGCTTTTTACCAAGAATATAAAAATTCTTAACTAACCTTCAGACTCAGAACTGTTAATTTTAGGTTGTTTCCGGCGGCGGCGGCGGTTCATACTCTCCATCCAAAGAAGCAGAATAAGGAAAAAGATGGTAGAGAAATCTAGTAGTTTGCCAAAGTTGGTGAGGTACTATTTGATGCAAAGTGAGCTTGGAAGCAATCCTAACCAACCTCAAGTCCAGAAGACTAAATTTATGTTGAAGTGAATACCACATATGCAACCCAACCAACCAAGAAAATTTCTGTTTGTTGACTTTTAGGCATGCAGTAGACTTGTAGTTGACAACCTAAAGTGAACAGAGAGATCCTCTTTCAAAATTGGAGGGGAAGAGGGGCGGGGTATTTCAGGAACTTTGCCCTTTCAAATAATTTATATCTACAGTGCTCAACATGTTGGCAAACTGTTGTTGATATCAACTAGTAATGTTTTCTGCAGTGTTATTAAATGCCATCTATCTTGACGGGTCAATTCGAAACAAGATAAATTTAGAAACTGATTCTAGCAGTTGTGAATATGCGTAATGCTAACGATTGTGGGAAACAATATTTTTCTATACTTTTAGCTTAATACTTAAGATATATAAATTAATTATATATTAAAAAAAAAATGAAATGTTTATGGGCATTTAGTTTTTTATATGGTTATCAAAGTATTAAAAAAAATCCCAATATTAAGTTAATATTAAAAAAAATCTTAGTATCACGGTATGATCTACTTTTTTAAAAATTAGGTAAATAAAATTTTATTAAATTTTTTAAAAATAAATCATTAAATTTTATAGAGCAATGACCTGATTTATGAGTTTGGCGAGGTAACCTTCATTGTCCTAGTTTATGAGTTTAGTAGAAATTTTTTTTTTTAATTAAATTAGATTATGTGATCATCTATTTTTTTCTATTATATAGTAGAAAAAATAATTATTAAATTTTAAAAAGTATATGAGCTTATTGATTTGTTTGGCAAGTTAATTTTTATTTTATTCTTTAATATTATGCTGATCAAGAATTTAATTTTATAATTTTATTTTATTTTTTCTATGAATTAAATTTAATTTTATAATTTTGTTTTATTTTTTCTATGAATTATCATAACTTTAAAAAAAGTCTCAATATTTATTTAATATTTAATTTTATAGTTATTTATTTTTGTTATCATATAGTTAAATAAAAAATAAAAAAAACAAGTTACTAATTAATGGAGTCTATTAGTTAGTTTGCAAATTTAATGTGTTGACTCAGGTTATCCGTTTCATAGGTTTAGCAAAGTTATCATGATCTTAAATAAATGTTTTTTTATTTTATTATAAATTTAAATAAAAATAATTTATAAAAATAATAAAATTATTAAATTTACTAAACTTCATCATCCGAGTTATAAGGTAACTAACATTGATTTAATTTTACATCATTTTAATATTAAAATCTAAGTTTTTTTTAATTAAATTTAATTCACAGTATATCGTGAGTGAGTGAATATACAAGTATAAAAAAGATGAAAGATATTACATGAAATAGTGTGTCTTGTGTGTGTATGTGTGTTATGCAATATAAAAACAATATACGGATCAAATTCATCAGTCCCATTATTTATTTTACGTTTGTTTCTTCAGCTGTTGTCACTGCACGAGGAATAATACAGTCATCAACTCACCATAGTGGGACAAGTTCTGATGCTTAAAATAAACAGGATGCATGGCTCTTTCCTCCCAGTGGTCCAGAACTCCTGAAGCCAGAAGGTAACCCACGACCTCAAATTTAAGGATGTAGCGTGCCATGAACAGCATCAAATGTCTCTGGTAAATTACATTAGGTGGTCCTCCCAGGTCTTACATTTTTCTCAATTTGACCCTCATTTCAAATTCTCAGTCACCCATGACTCCCTCATCCATTTATTTATATCCATATGGTCACATAGTTGTATGGGGCCACACGTGTGGCCACGGATCAGAATTGTGGGGGTTTCTCTGCCAAAAACTAAAGTAAAAGGCTTGAAAAGAAAAACAAATAAAACTCTATACTCAACCCCCATTGTGCCTCTGCATTCATGGGGTTAGATTGTGCTAGACCTACAAATAGGTAGATAGAGCGGTCGTTCGTCGAGGGCTATGGTCCAACATCATGTAGGAAAACGATATACAGAATATTTTTAAACAAATATATCCAACAGAATAGAGAGCTATATCGCATTACTTTTCTTTTTGGCAACTATATATATATCAAAGTTCAAAGTTATAACAAATTGAAACCCTAGGAAAAAAAAAAGGGGGTCCAACCTAACGTTTTGGTTGAACACAAGGTTTTGTCCAATTCTTATGTGCCATGATTTGAGTAGCCTAGTTTGTCTTAACGACAAGCACGACTCGGGAACACATGGACTTAGGAAAACAATGTGAGTGCAGAGATTCGTGACAAGAAATGTCAAACCTTACATGAGCCCAAGACAGTGAGTACGCAAATACTATTGTTAAAAGAATTGCTACAATCTGGGGAATTTGGGAGGCATAGGGTAAATGGTACGGTTAACAGTTATTAAACCCTGGATCGAGGTAAGTTCTACCTGAATAGATCCACCGAGGTTTATTAAAAGAATTTTAAAAAAAATTAGTTAGGACCATGCACGGAGTTGACCAGTGAAGCCGTTCTGGTTTTCTTGCCTGTGTTATGGTTTGGTTGGCTTCCTTTATTTGGACAAGTGAGGGGCTTCCACAACTACCACCAGAATTTCAAGTACAATGGGATCGGTTAGGATTCTTTTGATCCAGTGTTCATCGTTTGGACAGGATGAAATTATGCGTGATTGAAGGGATTAGATTTGCTAAAAGATAATCATTGGAACATTGAGAGGTAATCATGCATGAACCGTTGAATTTTGACCACAGCCAATGGTTTTTCGTCTAACTCTGTGGATCTGTTTTGAACCGGAAAATTTGTTAGATCTATACGGTTGACTCGAGAATGATTGACCTGATGTTTGGTTGGACTGATTTTTATTTCTTAGAAAAATTTTATACTTCAATAAAACAGATAAGTGATGAATGTGACCCCACAATTAAACGGGTGAATCACTGGTTTACACCCGTGATTTAATGAGCAAAAGCTATTTTAATTTGGATAGTATTTAAAATTGTAGTAATTGTTGTTTTTTAAAATATTTTTATATTAAAATATATTAAAATAATATTTTTAAAATTTTTAAAATTTATTATTAATACTACTATTATTATTATTTAAATTTTATTATTAAATCCTTGTAACCGTGGACATTTTATTATTAATACTAATATTATTATTATTTAAATTGTATTATTAAATCCTTGTAACCGTGGACATATATCATAATTAGTTTTTTGAAAGTACAGATATTATAATTAAAATTTTAAAAAATTAAGATATAAAACAGATTATTCATATCTAAATTAACATATTTAAAAGAATATATATTTCTCAAAGGGATAATAAGGTGGGGGAACAAATCTATTTATTACTAATTCTCTTAAATCATTAATATTTTTAATCAAATAATTATTAAATAAACCAATGACTTTCACTGAGGTTCATCACTCACAAATGACAAATGGATACCTTGATATTAATCAAATAAAAAGAATTAAAAGAAGATGTCCCATAATTTATGCCGTCAAATCATTTATTTTTTATTATTTTTTTAATATTCCGATTTTCGCAAAATCTCTTCAATGATGCAGGCAATACCTTCAAGAACCGTAATCACTTGAGTCATGTTTGAAATGACAGACACCGATGTGATGTTCATGTGACACAGTGGTGCGTATAAAGATTAAACACGTAACTTCATAGTCATAAAACTTGAAATGATTTCCTTTTCTTCTGATAAAGATATATTTAAACTACTAATTCTTTAATTACTCAGATAATTTTAAGGTCAATTATTTGTTATACGTACAAGAAAAATTATGTGAGTTTTTAGTGCAAAACGTAATGGAAATTGCTAATTATACTTAAATGGAGCCTTTTAATTTCATCATGGATTTGAGTTTTGTCATTCATAATTAATAAAGAGGTTATATTTTTGTTTTTATAATAGTCAAGATTTTATTAAAAAAAAAACTAGATTACTAATAAGTAATGGAGAAAAAAAATTATAAATATATTTATATCCGGTAATATAGTTTATAAAAAATCTTTGTTTATATATTCTCTTGTTTCTTTGTTTTAAAAAATAAATAAAATAATTTATTTATATTTAAAATTCTTATAAAAATATTTTTTATTAAAAATTAATAGAATCGAACTACATTGTAGTATTCTTAAATTAAACAAATCTTTATATATCTTAACAATTAAATAAATGTTATAATCGAAATAAACATGTCATAACAGCGGTCAACACCAACATTTACCATAATTCACCCCCCACATGCATGTTGGCCTATCATCTACAATCAACGGGCCTTAATGGTATTCAAACAAAATATCCTGTTAAATAATGTATTTTCTTAATTAATTTCATGTGATGCCCTAGGCGTGTGTGTGTGTATAAAGATTAAACACGTAACTTCATAGTCATGAAAGTACTTGAAATACATTTCATTTCATTTCATTTTACGATAAATTAAGATATATTTGAATTGGTTTGTACGTTAATTGATACATTTTTATTGGAAGATTTTAAGACCGTAACCCGAATTAAAAGAAATTAATATCTGCATATGATCATAAATCTAATTATTTATAAAAAGAATCGATAAAGTTTTGACCAAATGCAGAGTAACTGATCAGTCTGTCTGTCTTTACACCAATTTTTCATATCGAAGAAAAAAACAAATACATGAAGGGACCGCTTCAGCTTTGCCAATTCATAGCTTATCTATTTCACAGTAAATTATTACTTGGTCCTCACGCCTCTGTGACCTGTAAATTTGTACAGGAAGAACTATCTTATTTAAGGATTTTTTTTATTAATATAAATGTTTGGTTATTTTATTCATATCTTAAATAATTTTATAAATTTAAAATTAATAAATTATATAAATTTTTAGTAGCTATTATTTAAATAATTATAAAACTTGAACATGAAAAGATTTTTATTTGTTGATTTCGTGGGGACAGGGTTGATTAAGGATAATTTTTAAAAATAATATTTATTTGAAAATATATTAAAATATTTTTTAAATTTTTTATTATTTTTATTTGATAATAAAAAAATCATTAACAAATATTAAAAAAATATATTGAAATATTTTAAAGAAACAAAAGGCAATTTACTTCCAAACACTAAGAGTTTAGAGCATT